CAGAACGCCATCATGGCCGCCTGTGGTGCGGCCTTCTTACTTTTCGGTTGCGACTAGTCGTCAGCGTATCAAGACTCGATTCTCAGACTGGTTGAGCCATGTTTTCCGCCCACTTGACTTCATTCCGCTTGACACCGTCACTGGTGGGGCCCCATGCCTCGTTCCTCAGCATCAGCCCCGCCCTCCGCACCCGTTGCGTCTCCCTGGCGATGCGAGCCTCATAAGATCACATTAAGCTTACCGTCGACTCTGCATCCCCTGGAATGAAGAGTACCTCCATTCGGCCAACTCGCCATCTTGCGCACACCCGCGACGAGTACCGACATCGAACATTCTCGCAGACCTCGCTCAGAAACCATGGAGCGCAAAATCGTTGGAGAGCTGCTGTACAGCCACATTCGGTGTGCCGACAACACGGTGGATTCCGATGGGAAGCCTGTCTTTGTCGAGTGCAGAGACGAGAACGGGCACTTCAAGCCCAAGTACGCTTGGTCTGACGTTACGACGGCCTTCAACGTTCGGGGGATGGTCATTCATCCAGGTGGAGTCCGTGTGCGTCTGCCTGACGGAGTCTCTCGCCGACCGGCCAAGCAAGATCAGCTGCAAGGCACGCTCATGATCAAGTACGACAAGGATTGGCCCTCTGACGAGCCGTGCGGCGTCACCTTTCCGACTGGTGCATTCGGCAAATCACTTGGCCGCTACGTCGATATCTGTCCCCCCGACGACGCGCCTAGCCTGGCGCAAGTGGGTGAGCGCATCGTCTCCGAGTGGAAGATCGGTGGTAAACCTTTCATCCCGCCATTCTTTGTGAGGCCATCTCTGCCAGAAAATGTGGCCGTTGTCGAGGTGCATGGTGTTAGCCCTTACGCGCTCGACAAGTTCGCCCGCGAGGCACAGGCCATGTTCAACACGCTCGTGGATCCGGCATCCAAGACGCGCTCGGTTGTATGCGACGTCTGGGCGGTAAAATGGGAGGTGGTAAAGGGAAAGTTGGCCTACTTCGGCCGCGTCTGCTGGGTCGTCGAGGTGTTTGATCTTGACGGAGGCAAAGTCGATGCCGTCTCAGCTGCTCACCGTTGGCCAGGTTCGCTTCCGGGCTACTCGCTTTCGACCGTTTACGATCTTGGATTCATCAATCGCTTTCCCTACTGCACTCGGTGCAGCAACACCATTCACGATATCGACAAGCGTCACACCTCGGACAAATGTCCCAAGTTCAGGTGTAACGATTGCGGCCAAGTTGGGCATTTCAGATCAGCTTGCCCTCGCAACTCTCTTCCACCCCAGATCGGCGCTCCGGCAATCACTCCGACTCGGCGCGCTTTGCCCATGTCGACGCCCCGTTCCCTCCCTACCCACACTCCTCGAGGATATTTTGGTCACTCTTACGCACTTCACCCAAACTTCTGAGTGGCACACCTTGCAAGGTAGACGAGGAGCAGCGCACAGGCTAGATTTCGGACTGTCGAGCTTTGCTCTGACGGTCTTGAACATGAGTTGCTAGGGCGTTGCCCTCGTCATTATTGCGTATGCACGAGCATGCTGATCTACCCGAATACAGATGAGTTCGTGTTACCGGCTTGATCTAACTCGTGTCGGGTTTGCCACGAGCGACCCCGTTGGGAGGAGCAGCGGTCGTTGAGGCGGGAGCGCTGGCCGGGGG